CATCCTTAGACTTTCCTTTAATATTGAGTAACGTACCAATAACACTTTCAAATACATTTTTTTTCAATATGCATAACATCGAGAAAATGTCTCACATACAGAGACTTCCAATATGGCAATTCAAAAAAAACCGATCTCTTCTTCCACCCACCTTTGACAACTATATGCGCAAAAGGCTTGCCAAACTGAGTACACACATCTTTCACCTTTTCAAAAATTTGGTCACCTGACAATGCAGGTGGAGATTTACATTGTTCCGTGTCTCCAATGAATGCTTTTCTCCATGCATGGTAGAGATGTTTAGAATGTAAGAATCTATGATGACCGAGAACCACATTCTTCTGACAAAGTTCCAAACGCGTTGTATCGGTTCCATCTTCACAAATAGTACACGCGCGTTGACCTTTAATGCTATACCCAGATAGATTCCCGTATGCTGGAAAATCATTAATTGTGCCAAACAACATCGCCCTCAAATTGAAACTCTGTTTCCTATATCCATCATAAACCACCACCCCGTTCTCCCACAAAATCTTTAAATCTTCGATCAAAGGTGTCAAGTATACATCTATGTCATTCCCTGGTTGTTTAGGCCCAGAAATTAAGATATATAACATCATGTACTTACGCTTCATACATAGCCATGGAGGTAGGTTATAAATCATAAGAATCACAGGCCATGTGCTATGTGAGATGCTTTGAGGACCATGCGGGTTCATTCCATCAGTAGATAAATCCAAGTGAAGGTTTCTTGCTACTTCTCCAAAATCAGGATAATCATTATCAATTTTCGACCACTGTGGTGAACCTGCCGGATGTCGATACTTTCTATCAATAATTCTTTCATCTGCATGCCAAGTCAGGTGTCTTGCATCGGTTTCACTACGAAACATGCGCCTAAATCTCAGAATTATAGGAAAATACTATAAGACTTTTGTTGGAGACAATTTTTTCTTATATCGAGACAAACCGCATTTAGGACACTCTTTTAACGATGCATATTAGTTTCGAAACAGAACGCAATCGTTTGGACAAGCATGTATCTTATCATAGTTCATGCCAATAGAGAACAACATTTTTTTGGCCTCATAGGTTCGATTAGGAAGAACATTATCCTCCGGAAGCATATCTCTCATAAGGGCTAATAACTCTGTGAAACTTTTATCTGACCATCCATTGCCCGCCTTTAAGTTGTACAACTTTAATACCGCAGACAGTCTTGTGAATTTTGGTGCAACCTTTATACAATGATTTCTTTGCATCACTTACCAATCTCTCAAACATTTTGGGACATCTTGAAGATCTTCTTCAAGTACATCTGCAATCTCTTTGACTCGATCAAAATCATATGTATCTGTGACCTTGTCGTCTGAAGCATAGGCCGTATTACTTTTCTCCCCCGGTTCAACGTTGTCGTTACTTTTTTCACCGTGAAATATCTAACACATATAACTTCTATCAATTCCATGCATTAGTAAATTTGATTTCAATCCATCTGCGTCAACCCGACCCACATAACAACAACCCAAGCAACGACACTTCATTCGACTGGGGTCTTTGGCATGTTCAACAGCAAACTTAACGAATTCCAATACCCCTTTCTCGTACTCTTATAATAATAGATCGACAGACATCCATTTTTTATCCATTTTTTCTACTAATTCAAGTAAACAAAAACACTATAAACAGATTATTCCCTTTTTGTTTGGATTTTGAATAATATATTCATGGGTCACCTATAGTGAAACAACATCCTTTTGGCATAAGATTGCAATGGTTCACCTATAGTTACATTATGCGCCACTTCATGAAATGTTATATATTTTGAATTTAAAATTCAAACTTTGAATAGCATGAGACAAGGTTAAAGGAAACTTACACTTGTGGATGTTTAGTGCAAAAACTTACCAAAATTTTCTTAAGACATATTTAAAGGCAACTTTTACTGGTGACTGTTTAGTATAAAAACTGACCAAAATTTCCTTCAGACGAATTTGAAGACAACTTCCACTTTTGTCTATGAGATACTATTATCCTTTTTAACTTTTTCATATTTGAACACACCCATGGGAATTAATTGTCCATTAATTTTCAACAATACACCCGTTGTTATAATAAGTCTAATTATATAGTTAAGTATCTTTCGATTTAAAACTTAATCTTAGTGAAGACAACACAAAGTTTAATTGGAATGTTAGATAGCAATACTTTTAAACCATTAATCCATATGATTAGATCGGTGTTACCTTACACACACTCTTTAAAGGTTCTTCCCCTGCATATCTCTCATAATACTTATTTATGGCCCTGTGCTATCTGTTTCGTGAATTTTTCATGAGAGAAACTCCAACTCTCACTTTGAGACAAAACCATCTCGAAATTCATGTAGGTGAAGTTCATGTTGTATCCTATTCCATGAGATACTCGTCTTCGATTTGAACTCCATTAAGAGGTTTTGCCACATAAAAAAAAACTCAACCCTCTATTAAAAATAGTCAACATTTTTTCGTAATGTCCGACTTACACTACTACAAAACACGCATACAACAATGCCCAAGTCACCACAGTTCTTCCAAACACCGTGGTGACATCTCTAAACTCAAACGCTAAATTTTTTTATCTTTTAATTAAAAATTATTAGGATATTATAACAGTTCATGACCTCACGATGGTGATACAACTAAACTTTCATGGGTTCGAACCTATCACCCTCAAATATTTTATTCTTTTAACGTAAATGCCCATCTTTTCTTTTTTATTTATTTTTAAATAAAAAATAAAAGGGTTATCACTACGGTTATTTTGTACAACCATTGTGAAATTGTTTCTTACAAAATAAAAAGATAACATATACTTTATTGTGTTCATAACTCACATGGGTGCCCTAGCGAACGAGAGGACAAAGATAGAGAAATCTTCACCATCCTCTTAAAATATAATTTCTAGAAGGGAAATATTTATCATCCTCTTCGAATATCAATTTTGGTAAGTCATTATTCTCTTTCTCTAACGCTTAAGAATGTTTAGGGTTACCACATCTGTTAATGTTCATATGAATGTGTATTTTTCATGTTTAGGGTTACCGCGTTCATAACCATAGAATGAAAGTTGATATATTAGTGTATATTATAAAATCCTATGTTTTGTGAATCATTAATGTGGTTTTATGCATCGTTTTGTATGAATTATGATCAGCTGTCGCGCGCGGATCAAAATGAGTGATTTTTGAAAAATGTAGTTTAGCGACAGTGACTCGAGTATCGTATTTTGAGGATTTTTGTATTGTTATTAACCAACAGAAACTATTATGGGGAGTTTATTTCAGGATCGTTTTTTAAAGAACATAGCAAATAAGAAATTAAAATAAGTGATTATAAAAATATTTGGATCTATTATTTTCAGTTTCTTGCTAATCATTGATTTTAACCTTACCAATTCTCTAAGCGTCTTCGATCTATATTTGATTTCAATACCAATTTACAAGCTCAATAGATATAAAATAGATTGAATTTCCATTCCGAATTAAGAAAACAAATTAATATAATAGTGAATTAAGCAAACACGATATAGAACGCGATTTAACGACTAAGCGACGTAAACAACGATTAAATATTAGGAATACAATCATAAGAATTTAATCAAGACATTCCATGAAATAACAGATTAAGCAAATGCAATTTCATAAAATAGAATTGAAAGAGAAACGAAATTAAATTGATAAACTAAAAACCTCAAAGCGTTGGAACGCGATTACAACATATCAACTTTGTATGATTAGTTCTTCATTCAAGCGTACAAGAAAAAGTATTTTTTTAACATGGAAAAAAGGTGAAAAAATACATTACCACGACTGATTTCCCTTTTAACAGAATAATGGTTTCAATTCTAATACAAACCGGGTCGGAAAACTTAACCCAAACCCAATAAATGACCCGAAACAACTTAATTTCTAAAGTTTGAAAGTTCAACAAATTAATAGGAATGACGCATTCCTAACGAGCTTATGACTCCAACATGAAAGTTGTATCTCTATCTCTCAGCTTTTTAACAAATATTAGAATGTGCCAATTTGATTCTTGTAGCTCTAGGTATGATTTTTTCATTGAAAGCTGCTAATGTTGAAAATAAAATACAAAAATCAAATAAAGGAAAAAATAAACTAAATTGTAAAACATCATACAATAGAAATTTAAACAAAACAAATCATGTAAATGCCTAAGTATAATTATAAGAGAATGTGCATTAAAACGCATTGATTAAATTCCTCCATATTTAAACTTTTGCATTCCGAGCAAAATAGAATAAGGACTTATGAAACACCACAATATACAGATACTTATTCCAGGATACAAACTCTTCTTCAGTTAAGATTGCATCAATAGGTACTAATCTTACACACTAAGGATATCTTAGGAACACAAATCCGCAATTGAATGGTCATAAGCCTTCCTCATAAGCCTCACTTACTAATCCTCATCTTCGCTCTCTTTCATTCACTACGCCAAAAATAAGCTTTAGCAGCACATAAAAGAAAGCGCTTTTGGAAAAAAGCGTTGCTGTAGGTTTTAAAAGAAATTCGCTTAAAAAAGCGCTTTCAAAGGGTGCCTTAAGAAAGCGCTTTTCAAAAGCGCTTCTAAAGGTCACCCTTAGAAAGCGCTGCTAAAGCTGGCCTTTCAGAGGGTACCTTAAGAAAGCGCTGCTAAAGGTCAGCCTTAGAAAGCGCTTTTCCAAAGCGCTGCTAAAGCTGGCCTTTAGAAAATGCTTTTAAAAGCGCTGCTATAGGATATGCTACGAAAGTGCTTTTTGATGTAAAAGCGCTGTTATAGATGACCTTTAGAAAGCGCTTTTAAAAGCGCTTTCGTAGGTAGTTATTGTGGCCCATTAGTTAAGCCCATACCCGATTATTATTATAAGTTATTCAATAAAAACCCTTGTTGGAAACCATTTGCAGTTAGCCGCTCATCTTCGTTTCTCAAAGCATCCCGTGAAGCCGCTCCAAAATGGTTCGTTCGTTTTCACAGCTTGTTGAATTTTAAACTGTTATTCTAATTTCATTCTTATGTGATTATTGTTTGTGATTTTGGTTACAGACTAAGAGAACCAAGAAGGCCGGTATTGTTGGCAAATACGGTACGTTCTATCAATTTTCTTACTTTTCAACATTTTGTCTTGTTTGTTGTGCTTTTCGGTTTCAAATTTGTTTGTTTTGTAGATATTTATTTCATTTCAATTCACTATAAATGTGTTTGTTCTAACCCTAAAAACTTTGTGGGTTTTTTAATTTCAATTAGGTTTAGCTTAGATTTATTTGCTTCTAATTTAAATGAAATTCTCAGCTAAGATGAGTTTATGGTTTTTGTGTCGTAAATGGTGATAACTGATAGGTTTGTGTTCTAATTTCAGGCACCCGATATGGTGCTAGTTTGAGGAAGCAAATTAAAAAGATGGAAGTCAGTCAGCACAAAAAATTCTTCTGCGAGTTTTGTGGAAAGGTAGTTTTTTTTAAGGTGTTTTGTGACGAGTTTTTTCGATCTGCATTGGTTGATTATGTTCTCAATTTGTTGTATGTAGTATGCTTTTAAGAGAAAGGTTGTTGGTATTTGGGGTTGCAAAGATTGTGGGAAGGTTGTAATACCCCAAATTTGTCCTACCCTTCTACTTCTATCTGGTTTACGCATTGTCACACTTTTCTCATGTACATATCTCCATTAGGTCATTTAACATTGCATACGTTCGCTAACAACATGATTTGGCATGGAATCAGTGATATGATGGAATTAGGGTTTCTATGGCTTTGATGGTCCTCATCTTCACTTAAGCTTGAATCAGTTGGTTTTCGAGTAACTGTGGTTTATGGAACTAGGGTTTGGATTCTTAATCATGGTGAACTTCTCCCCCATCAAGCTATAAGGTTGTCATCCTCATCAAGGGCAGCATCACTAGGGTTTCACTAAAGGTTTAAGTAAAGACTATGTGAACTAAGGTCTAAGTTCAAAGTCATCTTGAATATCTTCTTCAGGGGTCTAAGACGTCGTTATTCTAGTGCTCATATAGTCGGGACATGGTACAAGATGTGGATTGTATTCAAGGTGTCATTATTTCAAATGCTTGTTGCTTGACACACAAGTTTGGTTTATATTGAGGAAGTGAATTGAATTAGGGATTCATTGAGGTTATAATTTGATTGGAACTTGTTCATTAATATTTGAAGAGGATTTGGAATAAATAAAAGTTCTTAAATATTTGAGTGGGATTTTTTAGAATAAAAAGGCATTTCATTCAAAGTTCAAGATCATTGGAAAAACAATGTGAAAATACTTCCAATCATGGTCATTCAAACTCCAAACGAGTTACAAGCTTTTGTTCCTTAACATTTGTGGAAAAATTGAAAACTACAATACATGGTGATTAACCTAAACCTAATGTTCTACATCTTCATTCCTTCATCCAACTCCATCTAATCTTCATGAAAAAACCTTCATAGAATGTGCCCTTTGTTCCTACCCACCAATCCTTCATTACCAAACTTGCAAACCTTCACAAAAGCTATCCAAAATAATGCATTATACATGCATATTCACAAGTAACAAAAGCCATGCCTCGCATTAATCACCATGCCACATCATTGAAGCAAACCTGCTGCACATGAATACAAATAAAATCAAACATAAACCAGATGCAAATTCCAAACCAGTCCACAATATCCAATTCAAAAACTAGTTCAACTTATAACCAATTGACTATTTTCAAGAAAGAAATAAAACAGAAGGAGAACCCTGCAATAACCAAAACAGAATTCACAAACAGAATAACCAATTCCAACCGCCCCAACTGTCAAAGAAATTAACTGCTTAACCATTTTCCAAACACCCTGCATAATAAAAAGCCAACTCAGCTCCCTAACTGTTATCTCAAAAAACAGAAAACCAAGGAAGCCGTGAGAATTCATGAATTGAGAAAAACTATAAACAAAAATTCAGTTATAACTAACTTCATTTTTTTCCAATCATATCCATTGATTTTATAACTAACTATCTGATTCAAGGGCCTGGATTAAATTTTTCCTAACAAACTTTTAGATCTAACAGAAACTATGTAAATCAATTACTCACCAGATTCAAGAGGATTCTTCAAAAAACTCCCAGAAGAATCACACCAAAATTGAAAAATTCTCTCTTCTCCCTCTCCCAATCTTCATCCCTTAACCACCATCACCTTCGTTCTTCATCTGCAGAACCGAGAAAACTCCCTCATCTCTCTTCTTCTACCCTCTGAATTCTTTGAGCTCCCTCTTCAATCATCTTCCAAACCTGCAATAATCCTCATGTAGCTTCTGCCTCGATCTGCATCATCTTCATCACAGCCTTCAACAACAACAACACCAATAAACGCTTCTACTTCGTAAACCTCGGCGAATCTGCAGCATCTTCAATGCGCTGAATCTAAAGCCGCTTAAATGCATATTGCTTCCTTGCACCATCACAACAGCAACTCTGTGAGACAGAAATCAAATGAAGAAAGAAGTGGAAGAAGAGAAGTAGAAGAACAACGTAGAAGAAGTATGAATCGGAGAATCGAAAACAAAGCACATACCTGAGTTTATCTCTTGAATTTATTGTCGATTATCGCCATCAAGGAGGCACCGGACTATCTCCGGTAGGTAATAAACTTCAACATTTTATGATTAGCCATTAATGTGTGTTGTTTTTTGTTTGGCTTGTTTGAACCGCGAAGATGAATCGAAGATAAGGTAAATGGAATCGTCGAAATCGCGAACGAAGGTGATGAGATGAAATGGAAAAGATCGTTGGAGATTTTGCGGAGAGAGAAGCCGATCGGATGTTTGGGCTCTGTCACGGATTCGATCGGAAAAGGAGGTTTTGGCCGCCGCCGTGAGTCGCGGAGGAGAAGTTATCAGTCGGCCCTAATGGTTAACAATTCCTCTTCTGTTCTTTTTGCTTATTTCCTTTTTTTCTAAAGATGCAAATAAGTTATTAAAAAAGGAGGATAGCTGATGGGTATTGGAGGTGATGGACCTGGGTCAAAAAACCCATGCTTAAGCCCATAGTTGCACCTTGTGTATTGAACAAAAAAAAAGAACACTCTTACTGGATCAAAATTGAATGTCTTAGGCCCGCTTTCCACTTCTGATATTTATCATGCATATGAGCAAAAAAGGAAAGGGAGCAGCTTATGGATTGTATTTTTTGGGTGGGCTTATGCTACATAGTGAATTGCTGGAATATACTCCTAAACTGTTGTTTGCACCCCCTGAATACTTTCAATTATTTCTCAAATAATTTTGTGTGATATTTATACATGGTTTTTTTCTTTAATTGTTCACATGATGAAAATTAAAAAAATATTAGAATAGAATTTTGCTTCTTTTATTAATTTTTTGTTGTTATTATATCCATGTTTTGGGTAAATTTTAATGCCAATTTTGTGTGGGATTTTGAAATAAAAAGAGACTTGAGTGAGCATAATTTTCATCAAGGAATTCAAGGAGGCTTCTGTAGAGTTTTCTTATTGCTTGTGTGATTATGAAGAGGCAACGGACCTTCTCCGTTCGGTACCATCGCAACCTCATTTTATTCCTCATTTCCGCACTTTACCGCTTTTATAGATATCATGAGAAGTAGGAAATAAAGAGCGTGCGCTCGAAGTCGCTGTTTAAGGACCTGTAGCAGGCATTCCGCACTTCATTTACCATATGTGTTGTGCTTGTGTTTGTTTACTTTCTTGTCGATTGATGAGTCACTCAATTTAGCAATTGAGATCACGACTTCGCTCTCAGTGCATGCTCCCTATAGGATTTTATCGCTTTCCATTCTTTCTTGCTGATCGATGAGTCACTCAATTTAGAAATTGAGATCACGACTTCGCTCTCATTGCATGCTCCCTATAGGATAGTTTTTTTAGACTTTTCTTCGACATGCTAACCTAGGCAGGATCTCTTTAGGTGTGCTTTTTTGCTGGCTTGCTTGCCTTATCCTTGTACATACCATGTTCCCATAGGATACGCTTGCTCTGTTCGGACGCAAGTTAGACCTTAGATTGCAACCCATGCATGCTAACAGTAGGTAGAAACTTCCCCTTTCATCCTTGACATAGGGCTACCATTGCATGATAACATTAGGTTAGAAATAGGATAGTCTCCCTTAGACTCTTTTCTTCCCCTCTTTGCATCCTTGCATTCAAAACAAAAACATCCTTTCTTAGCAAATCAAAAACATGCTAATCATATCTAAACCCTTTTTCAAGGTAACAAAAATACAAAACAAATTCAAACCATTTTGTGCGCTCGAGCACCTTTTATCTAAACCCTTTTCAGGTAAGGACATGATTAGTTTACTTCTGTGCCAATGCATAAGTCTCCAAAGGTCGAGCTGCGGCAGAAGGAGGAATTAACATTGTCCATAAAAAAACACAAACAAACAAAAACATATGAGCCGAACTACGGTAGCTCTGATTCCTCAAAAAGGATACGTAGGCATTGGGGTAGGGCCCAGGCGAGCACAATTTTATTTTCCCTACATTCTTTTCTCCTTTCTTTTGCATGCATTTTCCCTCCAGTAGTATAGTAGACAGTAAGCATAGATTAAACACACCCATAAGATAGACAACAATAGTGGATACCGTAGAGTACTACGGGCGTGTGGGGTGCTAATACCTTCCCCTCGCGTAACAGACTCCCTTACCCGATCTCTCGGTTGCAAGACCGTGACTTCTCCCTTCTCAGGTTTTCTCGATGTTTACCTTTCCCTACATGTGGGATAAAAGACGTTCGATGGCGACTTCATTGTTTTGATGATTTTCAGCCAGTTGTTTCAGCTGGCGACTTCACTGGGGATAGGTCGACCAAATGCTGGTCCATCCCAGAGTCGCTCCTAGCTCTTGTTTCTTTTTCTTTGGGTGTTTATTTTATGCTTTCAGTTTATTCATTCATTTTTTTATATACTTGAGCATACGTATGCATTGCATTTTACTGTCTTCCATATACTACTGTTGTACTGGATCTGCTTCTTATTGGGTGGGTGTTACTATGAGGTAAAAGGCCCAATACCCAGGCCATAGTTGTATACCATAGGAACCCTAGGAATAGAGTGGAACATGAATGGCTAGTTGACTTAGGTCTCGCTATCGCCGCCATGTCGTCCACGCTCAGATGAGGTACAAATGAGGGGCTATCGTTTTCACTTAGGTGATACGGCGATAGTTTTTCAGGAGTACCCTCGATTCTGAGTTACCATTGCCTTACCCTGACCTAGTTTTCACCCGTGAGCGGGGAGGGAATTCTTATTACAGGTACAGGTGGTGACTATGTTCAGATGGTTACTCATGCTCAGATGGTGACTATGATCAGACGGTGACTATTGGTTCTAATGGCTATATTCTGGATTTCTATTATGACTTTATGCAGATGCAATATCTTGTTGGTGACCGTATGGTTCTCAGATTTATTTTCTGAGTTCCTGACTTGTTTACCTGGAGGTTCATTCAAGCCTTCAATCTTGGTATTCCCAGCATGTTCAGAAATTCTCAACAGTATCTGATGTTCCAGAAGCCTTGACCCCGTACAATGGGAGATTCGCATGGTACTTGGTTCTTATATGTGCAGAAGCTATGTCGAACCTTTGATCTGATGATACTCACATGATTCAGAGCAGTGCAGCAATCATATTCAGAAATGATGGAACCTTGATCCCACTTGATCTCATGCCTTTGCATACATAACATGGTTAACCACATGCTTAACATACATGTTCTATTATTTCCAAGGAATCATATTTGCAAGCCTTGTGCTAAACTCTTCCATCTTTTACTTGCGTAAAATCAAAATTAAAGCACATGAATTCCTTGGAAATGACAGAACATGACATGGCATTCATTCATGTACCCCATGCATATTCATGCATTCATAACAGGTACCCGAAGATTGGGGATTCTTATTCAGACCTGGGGTTCTCTTCAAAGGCTCAACCTGGTTTCTCACTGCACGTGTTCAGGGATCATCTATGGAATGACTCTGTGCGGTATACTTTGGCCTGTAGTCATAAATTTCTTCGAACAGGAAGTTTGTACCGATTCGCTTGGTAAAGCATTCATTCGTTCTCCTAAAAGGATCTTCTATGCATCTTATACTGGGGCACTTCGCCAATCGATTGAAGAAGGTATGTCATCCAGAGACCAAGTCCAAGACTGCATCAATTCAGAGACTGTCATGCTCACATCAGATCTGAAAGGGGAATTCTCTCGCACACTCGAGCATCAAGACTACAGAAAGTCGTCAGAATCAGCAAGTCCATACGGAGTCAAGTCTCCTCAACAATGGCAATCATTGGTTTCTTTACTGCACTTTCATTTTCATTCTTGCTTGTTTGTTTAAACATCGCTTGTATATAGAAACTTGTCTATTTTTGAACGAAAATCTTAATGCAATAAGTAAGCTTGTCTTGAAGTGTTCCTTTCATTTTTACTCATCCATTCGTTATCACTCTTTAAATGTTTTACTTGCATATTGATGCCAGATCTCTTAGTCTTATGCTTAGGTAAAGATTCAAAGGAGGATGACGACAATCTAAAACGCAAAAATCTCTGGTTGGTACGCTTTTGAGTAAGACCCTGCTGACGATGTACAAGCCTTGTTTCAATCCCTAAACACTGGAGATATAAGGAAGATAGACCCTCGTTAACCCCTCTGAGCCTTCGAAGTAGGCGTTTTCTTTCTATTCAGAAAAAACCCTCATTTTCAACCCTGGGGCGGGCAGTGTTCAGCTAATCTGATCAAGCATTCAGAACTCATCAAGAGTACACATCCAAGGATACAACAATGGTTATCCATCAAAAGGTTGAGGAAAGTCAAAACCACAAAGGTTAACCTTCGTCTATCAGCAATGTGCATCAATTAACAATATCCCAATGGATATCTCTCGCACATCAGGAGGTCGACAGATGACAATACAACAATGGATATCCATCATTTACTAAAAACTCAGGCAGTCACGGTCACTTCCAACAAATCAAAAACAACGCAAAGATCAACGACTTGTTCAAAATAGAAAATACGAATGAGAAAGAAACAAAAAATCCCCGCTAAGTCGAAACTTGAAAACAAGTCACTTAGGTAAAAATTGGGGCATCCCGCTGGACATCCAAATCGAAATTTAAAAGAATTTGTCCAGGCAAAAATTAGGGAAAGCAAGAAGGAAATTGAAAATCCTAAAAGGAAAGAAAAGGATTACCAATGAAAATCCTCATCAAAGAACAAGGTCGTCTGATCAGACACCAAAATCAGAAGTTAGTGACTGTCGTGTCCAAGAAACCACAGTGGTTCCTCAACCATCGCAAACTCTTCAAGAGAGATGAACGCTTGTGTCAGGTCAACTGAACATAGAAATGGAGAACATCATGGAGAATGGGTGGACACCAAATAATTTTGAGCCTTAAAACCTTTTTTCTAAAACCGTGAACCAGACCACGTTACAGCCCATAAAAGTCCTAACTGAAGCATGGGTCTATTCGAAAGCGTGCTACAACGAGATAGCGTTTAACTGACTCCTAAGAGGTATGTGTGAATATCTGTGTTGGTATCATATGCTTGCATTATCTTCATGAAAAAAGAATTTGCAAATGTTTCTCTCTAGCTAGTGACTTGTTCACAACAGAGTTGTGACGTCATTTCATTCAAAGTTTTTTCAAACTTCAAGACTTACATATGTGTTGCATTAGAATTATCATTCTCATAATAAACATTCTTCTGCATACAAAACAACTGATCGACATCAAGTAATTTTGCACAATGAACAATCGGTGAAGAGCTCAATCTTGTCAGAGAAGAGAGGCTTGAATACCCTGTTGAAGCAAGAGTCAGCTGCCACAAGAGAAATGACTTATCCAGCAGCATGTTAAACCAGAGATTCTGTCAAAAGAAATCATCTTGATACTTCACAGTCTAAGTGCCTTTCAGGGATGAAG